GTCCTGGATCTATAGCCTGAGTCCTGGATCTATAGCCTGAGTCCTGGATCTAAGCCTGAGTCCTGGATCTATAGCCTGAGTCCTGGGATCTATATCTGAGTCCTGGATCTATAGCCTGAGTCCTGGATCTATAGCCTGAGTCCTGGATCTATAGCCTGAGTCCTGGATCTAAAGCCTGAGTCCTGGATCTATAGCCTGAGTCCTGGATCTATAGCCTGAGTCCTGGATCTAAGCCTGAGTCCTGGATCTATAGCCTGAGTCCTGGATCTATAGCCTGAGTCCTGGATCTATAGCCTGAGTCCTGGATCTAAGCCTGAGTCCTGGATCTATAGCCTGAGTCCTGGATCTATAGCCTGAGTCCTGGATCTATAGCCTGAGTCCTGGATCTATAGCCTGAGTCCTGGGTCTAAAGCCTGAGTCCTGGATCTATAGCCTGAGTCCTGGATCTATAGCCTGAGTCCTGGATCTATAGCCTGAGTCCTGGATCTATAGCCTGAGTCCTGGGTCTAAAGTCTGAGTCCTGGATCTATAGCCTGAGTCCTGGATCTATAGCCTGAGTCCTGGATCTATAGCCTGAGTCCTGGGTCTAAAGCCTGAGTCCTGGATCTATAGCCTGAGTCCTGGATCTATAGCCTGAGTCCTGGATCTAAGCCTGAGTCCTGGATCTATAGCCTGAGTCCTGGATCTAAGCCTGAGTCCTGGATCTAAGCCTGAGTCCTGGGTCTATAGCCTGAGTCCTGGATCTATAGCCTGAGTCCTGGGTCTAAAGTCTGAGTCCTGGATCTATAGCCTGAGTCCTGGGTCTATAGCCTGAGTCCTGGATCTATAGCCTGAGTCCTGGGTCTAAAGTCTGAGTCCTGGATCTATAGCCTGAGTCCTGGATCTATAGCCTGAGTCCTGGATCTATAGCCTGAGTCCTGGGTCTAAAGCCTGAGTCCTGGATCTATAGCCTGAGTCCTGGATCTATAGCCTGAGTCCTGGATCTATAGCCTGAGTCCTGGGTCTAAAGTCTGAGTCCTGGATCTATAGCCTGAGTCCTGGATCTATAGCCTGAGTCCTGGATCTATAGCCTGAGTCCTGGATCTAAAGCCTGAGTCCTGGATCTATAGCCTGAGTCCTGGATCTAAAGTCTGAGTCCTGGATCTATAGCCTGAGTCCTGGATCTATAGTCTGAGTCCTGGATCTATAGCCTGAGTCCTGGATCTATAGCCTGAGTCCTGGATCTATAGCCTGAGTCCTGGGTCTAAAGCCTGAGTCCTGGATCTATAGCCTGAGTCCTGGATCTATAGCCTGAGTCCTGGGTCTAAAGCCTGAGTCCTGGATCTATAGCCTGAGTCCTGGATCTATAGCCTGAGTCCTGGGTCTAAAGCCTGAGTCCTGGATCTAAAGCCTGAGTCCTGGATCTATAGCCTGAGTCCTGGATCTATAATAATATCTGGATAGAGTATTACTAGCTTAAAGCACGAGTTCCGCTAATCTTTCGGCCTCCACGGAGGGTCGCCACTGAGCTCCATCCATTTAATTGAATAGGACGCCATCTTGGATCACCGGGACTTGGACCGATCATATGGCTTGCAATTGACGTCACGTTCGCCTCATTACGTATGCGTATCACTGTGGTCGCCGAGCTCGTTGTTCACTAGAGCAGCGTGTCTGAATCTGACTTTTGTATGTGTTGTTTTAAGTTTTTTAACCGATCGAATTGTGAAACCTTTAATGGATACTTTAGGATTCCTCGTGAAGAGATTGATAAAGAGACTCGCACTCAGGACTTTATGAAAAGACGCAGGAAAAGTGGCTCGCTAACATTTCACTGCAAACGCTTTTACCTCTAAGGATTATTTATTTACCTCTAAGGATTATTTATTTACCTCTAAGGATTATTTATTTACCTCTAAGGATTATTTATTTACCTCTAAGGATTATTTATTTACCTCTAAGGATTATTTATTTACCTCTAAGGATTATTTATTTACCTCTAAGGATTATTTATTTACCTCTAAGGATTATTTATTTACCCAGCCATGGAGTCACAATGCTCAGTTATTACATCCCCATCTTTATCTAGTTAACTTTCAGGTGTGAGTTTTAAATAAACACTGTGAATGTTTGAGCTGAAAAGAACACAGCCACAGACGCATCGTTCTGTTGAGAATGATAAGTTCATTCACCGATCCTTATTCACACGGCTCTGTACGATGCAGGACGTGTCCTTCAGGACCTTAACTCTGAGTTCTTAAACCCACAGACGGAAAAGTTGCAGTATCCATGTTTATCCAAACCTTCTGTTTAGCAGTGCAAAAGCTTGACTGTAACACTAGCTGTGGATTAGAATCTAGACAGTCTAGGATCGTGTCTGTATTTCAGACAGAAGACATGTTTTATTGTCGATCTTAGAGGCAGCTTAAGACGTTACAGAATGTAAGTGATATTATACAGCGGAGGAATGGAGACTTATTAGCATATTAGCATTTACCGCTGTGCCAGTAGCTTCAACCTTGATATTACCAAAACATGTAGTGGAAAAATTCTGCCTTGTGCATATTGTTAGAATGATGAGTTAGAACGTTCACCACAGAAGCTTCAAAGTGTCATGAAATATCCAGAAAAGCTTAAAAAAAACTTGGAAGAGTCGCATTTTCTTCACATATCAGCAGCAACTCTTGCTGACCTGAGGTTTATGCGTCACGTGACTGCAAGGCAAGAATACACACTTTCTCAGGCTCTTTGTGGGTTCTTTATGAATGTGACCCTAAATCAATATAGTCCAGCTTTAAGAATATGTTTCTCTGGATTTTTATAGCAAATGTCTCACTGTGGAACAACCAAAAAACACCTTTTATTTCTATAATTAACACCGTATTCCCTCGAGGCCGCCGCAAATGTCATGTGTCCTTTCTACGACTACAGACCCGCTCCTCCGGGATTCGTCCGTGATTGTTAATCGCCGACATCTTTCCCTCTCAGATCAGTATTAGCTTTGAGTTAGCCTTCTGCCATATGCTTTTGTAATGTCATTTCTCTCATGTAAAAATCGCTCTAATCATAAGTCTCTTCCTTTTAGCGGCTGTTTAAATGGATGGTCATTTTGGCGATGTTTTCCCGGTCTTTCCGAAAAAGCCTTTGCTGTTTTCTATTTATGTAACATCAGTGGAGGCGGCGGTTTTAGTATTCATCTTGCAAGGACACACGTTTTCCATTTCGCTGCTGCCGGCTCCAAACCTTGAACCTCCCAAATCTGTGCTTAAGACTAATTAGTGTCATTTTGCTTTAATAGCGCATTTATTTTTCATCAAGGCCTTTGTGTTTGGACCAAAATCAAGCAAAATAATATTCACATTTGTGAGATGTTGAAGGTGTTTTGTTAGAAGCCTCAATTTCACGTTCTTCTGAAGCTGAGTATCGGCAGATTGCACTTATGTCGTACAAACTGTTTTCAGAATCAGTGAAAAGTCTCTCCTTTAACGTTGGAAGAAAGTGTTTTGTAAAAGTGAGATTCTGTGGAAGTTTGGGAGAGACTGACGACTCTGGAAGTTTGGGAGAGACTGACGACTCTGTAGAAGTTTGAGAGAGACTGACGACTCTGTGGAAATCTCTAATCTCTCAAATTCACTTAGAATTTAATAAAAACAAACAAAGACATTGATAACAAACAAATATACAAATTAGGGGTAGGGGAAACCGGAGCACCTGGAGGAAACCTACAAAGACACTGGGAGAACATGTAAGCTTCACATAGGTCCTGTTCCGGGATTCGAACACATGACCTTCTTGCTGTGAAGCAAAAGTGCTAACCACTCAGCCACTAGTACTAAAGTAGGTGCCCGTGAGGGCGGCACGGTGGCTGAGTGGTTAGCACTCTCGCCTCTCAGCAAGAAGGTCCAGGGTTTGAATCCCGGTCGGACCAGGGCCTTTCTGAGTGGAGTTTGCATGTTCTCCCCGTGTCTGCGTAGGTTTCCTCCGGGTACTCCGGTTTCTCCTACCACTAAAAACATCTACAGTAGATCTGTGCCTCCTGTTCTGGCCCCTCCCATCTCTGTGTCAGAGACTAATGTCCAAAAACAACAATTGTAAACCGCTGTGACTCTGGTCTGTGAAAGGTGCGATATAAATAAACATGACTTACTTACTAGGGGCGACAGTAGCTCAGTTGGTAGAGCATTGGCCTTAAGGCCAGAAGGTCGTGGGTTCAATTCCCACCTCTGCACCTTCTCCATCGACTCCCACTGATGAGTGCTGTCGTTGTGTCCTTGGGCAAGACACTTAACCCCACTTTGCCCAAAGCCCCCACTGAAAGATCAAGGCTATGCTCACAGTCAGAGAGCAGCCGTCCTCCTGTGGACTCACCACCTGCAGAGGATCAGTGAGGGGCTGGTGCTATGAGACTTGGGTGGCATCTCTGACTGCCACCCCCCTGACCCAGAAATGGATTAAAGGGAAGAAAATGGATGGATGGACTTACTTACTAAAGTAGGAACAGGGTAAAAGTGTAAAAGTATTAAAGTAGACACAGGTAAAAGTACTGAAGTAGGTACAGGGTAAAAGTACCAAAGTAGGTAATTTATAATGTATATACAGTAGCGCCTCAGACCAGAGTCAAAGCAGTTTACAATTGTTGTTTTTGGACATTAGTCTCTGACTCCACAGAGATGGGCGGGGCCAGTACAGGAGGCACAGACCTGTTGTACATGTTTTAGTGGTAGGGGAAACCGGAGCACCCAGAGGAAACCTACACAGACACAGGAAGAACATGCAAACTCCACTCAGAAAGGTTGGCTGAGAAGCGAGAGTGCTAACCACTCAGCCACCGTGTTTCATTCTGACTGAGCCTTTAAACAAAATTTGCAAATAGGACAAAGCAAAATGATATTTATACAAGAAATGTGTCTTTGGAATGAGGAAATAAAGCAACAGTTCTGGAAATAATATGAATCTAGTTTCAACACAGTCAGAATGTGTCAGATTCATATTAAAAACACTAGATTTAAGCATTTATTTCCTCATATTTCATCATTTTTGCAGTGTATGACATGACACAGAAGCCCAGACTTAGACGTTTTCTTTGGTCTTGGATAAACGTCCCCGACGGCGAACAGGCTGCAGCTGTGTCCAGACTGATGCTGTAGCGAACAGGCTGCAGCTGTGTCCAGACTGATGCTGTAGCGAACAGGCTGCAGCTGTGTCCTGACTGATGCTGCAGTGAACAGGCTGCAGCTGTGTCCAGACTGATGCTGCAGTGAACAGGCTGCAGCTGTGTCCAGACTGATGCTGCAGTGAACAGGCTGCAGCTGTGTCCAGACTGATGCTGTAGCGAACAGGCTGCAGCTGTGTCCAGACTGATGCTGCAGTGAACAGGCTGCAGCTGTGTCCAGACTGATGCTGTAGCGAACAGGCTGCAGCTGTGTCCAGACTGATGCTGCAGTGAACAGGCTGCAGCTGTGTCCAGACTGATGCTGCAGTGAACAGGCTGCAGCTGTGTCCAGACTGACACTGCAGTGAACAGGCTGCAGCTGTGTCCAGACTGATGCTGTAGTGAACAGGCTGCAGCTGTGTCCAGACTGATGCTGTAGCGAACAGGCTGCAGCTGTGTCCAGACTGATACTGCTGCGAACAGGCTGCAGCTGTGTCCAGACGGATACTGCTGCGAACAGGCTGCAGCTGTGTCCAGACTGATACTGCAGTGAACAGGCTGCAGCTGTGTCCAGACTGATGCTGCAGTGAACAGGCTGCAGCTGTGTCCAGACTGATACTGCCGCGAACAGGCTGCAGCTGTGTCCAGACTGATGCTGCAGTGAACAGGCTGCAGCTGTGTCCAGACTGATGCTGCAGTGAACAGGCTGCAGCTGTGCCCAGACTGATACTGCCGCGAACAGGCTGCAGCTGTGTCCAGACTGATACTGCTGCGAACAGGCTGCAGCTGTGTCCAGACTGACACTGCAGTGAACAGGCTGCAGCTGTGTCCAGACTGATGCTGTAGTGAACAGGCTGCAGCTGTGTCCAGACTGATGCTGCAGTGAACAGGCTGCAGCTGTGTCCAGACTGATGCTGCAGTGAACAGGCTGTAGCTGTGCCCAGACTGATGCTGCAGTGAACAGGCTGCAGCTGTGTCCAGACTGACACTGCAGTGAACAGGCTGCAGCTGTGTCCAGACTGATGCTGTAGTGAACAGGCTGCAGCTGTGTCCAGACTGATGCTGTAGTGAACAGGCTGCAGCTGTGTCCAGACTGACACTGCAGTGAACAGGCTGCAGCTGTGTCCAGACTGACTCTGCCGCGAACAGGCTGTAGCTGTGTCCAGACTGACACTGCAGTGAACAGGCTGTAGCTGTGTCCAGACTGATGCTGTAGTGAACAGGCTGCAGCTGTGTCCAGACTGATGCTGCAGTGAACAGGCTGCAGCTGTGTCCAGACTGATGCTGCAGTGAACAGGCTGCAGCTGTGTCCAGACTGATGCTGTAGCGAACAGGCTGCAGCTGTGTCCAGACTGATACTGCTGCGAACAGGCTGCAGCTGTGTCCAGACTGATACTGCTGCGAACAGGCTGCAGCTGTGTCCAGACTGATACTGCAGTGAACAGGCTGCAGCTGTGTCCAGACTGATGCTGCAGTGAACAGGCTGCAGCTGTGTCCAGACTGATACTGCCGCGAACAGGCTGCAGCTGTGTCCAGACTGATGCTGCAGTGAACAGGCTGCAGCTGTGTCCAGACTGATGCTGCAGTGAACAGGCTGCAGCTGTGCCCAGACTGATACTGCCGCGAACAGGCTGCAGCTGTGTCCAGACTGATACTGCTGCGAACAGGCTGCAGCTGTGTCCAGACTGACACTGCAGTGAACAGGCTGCAGCTGTGTCCAGACTGATGCTGTAGTGAACAGGCTGCAGCTGTGTCCAGACTGATGCTGCAGTGAACAGGCTGCAGCTGTGTCCAGACTGATGCTGCAGTGAACAGGCTGTAGCTGTGTCCAGACTGATACTGCAGTGAACAGGCTGTAGCTGTGCCCAGACTGATACTGCAGCGAACAGGCTGCAGCTGTGTCCAGACTGATACTGCCGCGAACAGGCTGCAGCTGTGTCCAGACTGACACTGCAGTGAACAGGCTGCAGCTGTGTCCAGACTGACACTGCCGCGAACAGGCTGTAGCTGTGTCCAGACTGACACTGCAGTGAACAGGCTGCAGCTGTGTCCAGACTGATGCTGCAGTGAACAGGCTGCAGCTGTGTCCAGACTGATGCTGTAGCAAACAGGCTGTAGCTGTGTCCAGACTGATACTGCAGTGAACAGGCTGTAGCTGTGTCCAGACTGATACTGCCGCGAACAGGCTGCAGCTGTGTCCAGACTGATACTGCAGTGAACAGGCTGCAGCTGTGTCCAGACTGATACTGCCGCGAACAGGCTGTAGCTGTGTCCAGACTGACACTGCAGTGAACAGGCTGCAGCTGTGTCCAGACTGATGCTGCAGTGAACAGGCTGCAGCTGTGTCCAGACTGATGCTGTAGCGAACAGGCTGTAGCTGTGTCCAGACTGATGCTGCAGTGAACAGGCTGTAGCTGTGTCCAGACTGATACTGCCGCGAACAGGCTGCAGCTGTGTCCAGACTGATACTGCCGCGAACAGGCTGCAGCTGTGTCCAGACTGATACTGCAGTGAACAGGCTGCAGCTGTGTCCAGACTGATGCTGCAGTGAACAGGCTGCAGCTGTGTCCAGACTGATGCTGTAGTGAACAGGCTGCAGCTGTGTCCAGACTGATACTGCCCGCGAACAGGCTGCAGCTGTGTCCAGACTGATACTGCAGTGAACAGGCTGTAGCTGTGTCCAGACTGATGCTGTAGCGAACAGGCTGTAGCTGTGTCCAGACTGATACTGCAGTGAACAGGCTGCAGCTGTGTCCAGACTGATGCTGTAGCGAACAGGCTGTAGCTGTGTCCAGACTGACACTGCAGTGAACAGGCTGCAGCTGTGTCCAGACTGATGCTGCAGTGAACAGGCTGCAGCTGTGTCCAGACTGATGCTGCAGTGAACAGGCTGCAGCTGTGTCCAGACTGATACTGCAGTGAACAGGCTGCAGCTGTGTCCAGACTGATGCTGTAGCGAACAGGCTGCAGCTGTGTCCAGACTGATGCTGTAGCGAACAGGCTGTAGCTGTGTCCAGACTGACACTGCAGTGAACAGGCTGCAGCTGTGTCCAGACTGATGCTGCAGTGAACAGGCTGCAGCTGTGTCCAGACTGATGCTGTAGCGAACAGGCTGTAGCTGTGTCCAGACTGATACTGCAGTGAACAGGCTGTAGCTGTGTCCAGACTGATACTGCGCGAACAGGCTGCAGCTGTGTCCAGACTGACACTGCAGTGAACAGGCTGCAGCTGTGTCCAGACTGACACTGCCGCGAACAGGCTGTAGCTGTGTCCAGACTGACACTGCAGTGAACAGGCTGCAGCTGTGTCCAGACTGATGCTGCAGTGAACAGGCTGCAGCTGTGTCCAGACTGATGCTGTAGCAAACAGGCTGTAGCTGTGTCCAGACTGATACTGCAGTGAACAGGCTGTAGCTGTGTCCAGACTGATACTGCCGCGAACAGGCTGCAGCTGTGTCCAGACTGATACTGCAGTGAACAGGCTGCAGCTGTGTCCAGACTGATACTGCCGCGAACAGGCTGTAGCTGTGTCCAGACTGACACTGCAGTGAACAGGCTGCAGCTGTGTCCAGACTGATGCTGCAGTGAACAGGCTGCAGCTGTGTCCAGACTGATGCTGTAGCGAACAGGCTGTAGCTGTGTCCAGACTGATGCTGCAGTGAACAGGCTGTAGCTGTGTCCAGACTGATACTGCCGCGAACAGGCTGCAGCTGTGTCCAGACTGATACTGCCGCGAACAGGCTGCAGCTGTGTCCAGACTGATACTGCAGTGAACAGGCTGCAGCTGTGTCCAGACTGATGCTGCAGTGAACAGGCTGCAGCTGTGTCCAGACTGATGCTGTAGTGAACAGGCTGCAGCTGTGTCCAGACTGATACTGCCGCGAACAGGCTGCAGCTGTGTCCAGACTGATACTGCAGTGAACAGGCTGTAGCTGTGTCCAGACTGATGCTGTAGCGAACAGGCTGTAGCTGTGTCCAGACTGATACTGCAGTGAACAGGCTGCAGCTGTGTCCAGACTGATGCTGTAGCGAACAGGCTGTAGCTGTGTCCAGACTGACACTGCAGTGAACAGGCTGCAGCTGTGTCCAGACTGATGCTGCAGTGAACAGGCTGCAGCTGTGTCCAGACTGATGCTGCAGTGAACAGGCTGCAGCTGTGTCCAGACTGATACTGCAGTGAACAGGCTGCAGCTGTGTCCAGACTGATGCTGTAGCGAACAGGCTGCAGCTGTGTCCAGACTGATGCTGTAGCGAACAGGCTGTAGCTGTGTCCAGACTGACACTGCAGTGAACAGGCTGCAGCTGTGTCCAGACTGATGCTGCAGTGAACAGGCTGCAGCTGTGTCCAGACTGATGCTGTAGCGAACAGGCTGTAGCTGTGTCCAGACTGATACTGCAGTGAACAGGCTGTAGCTGTGTCCAGACTGATACTGCTGCGAACAGGCTGCAGCTGTGTCCAGACTGATACTGCAGTGAACAGGCTGTAGCTGTGTCCAGACTGATACTGCTGCGAACAGGCTGCAGCTGTGTCCAGACTGATACTGCAGTGAACAGACTGCAGCTGTGTCCAGATACTGAGGGTCTGGGGGGGGTCCCATCAAACTGTTCTTTAAAACGTCTCTCCCACTCTCACTCCGACACAGTCAGCTGGAGCCTCTCTCACAGGATTCTGGACACGTTTGGTCCCCTGTGGTCCGGGTTCAGGCTCCACCATCTGGATGACGGTGTGATGTCTCCACAGAAACACCGAGAGGGCCATAAAACTCATAAAAGTGTAATTCCAAAGATCATCTGTGACAAATGGACTCGGCTGATTCCTTTTAGGGCAAAAACCACAGTAACAGGGCAAAGGTTTGTAGGCAATGAAATACCTGCATTTAGAAACAGAAACAGTTTGATATTTAACAAACACATGAGGAGGGAGTTTACACGTTTTTATTCTTACAAAAAATTTGGAGCTCACGGAACAAATGTGTTTAATAACTATGTTTAATAACTCTGGTCTTTCTGGTCTCTCTCTGGTCTCTCTCTCTCCCTGGTCCCTCTCTCTGGTCTCTCTCTCTCTGGTCTCTCTCTCTCTGGTCTCTCTCTGGTCTCTCTCTGGTCTCTCTGGTCTCTCTCCCTGGTCTCTCTCTGGTCTCTCTCTGGTCTCTCTCTGGTCTCTCTCCCTGGTCTCTCTCTGGTCTCTCTCTGGTCTCTCTCTCTGGTCTCTCTCTGGTCTCTCTCTCTGGTCTCTCTCTGGTCTCTCTCTGGTCTCTCTCTGGTCTCCCTCTGGTCTCTCTCTCTGGTCTCTCTCTGGTCTCTCTCTCTGGTCTCTCTCTGGTCTCTCTCTCTGGTCTCTCTCTGGTCTCTCTCTCTGGTCTCTCTCTGGTCTCTCTCTCTGGTCTCTCTCTGGTCTCTCTCTCTGGTCTCTCTCTGGTCTCTCTCCCTGGTCTCTCTCTGGTCTCTCTCTGGTCTCTCTCTGGTCTCTCTCTGGTCTCCCTCTGGTCTCTCTCTCTGGTCTCTCTCTGGTCTCTCTCTGTCTCTCTCTCTGGTCTCTCTCTGGTCTCTCTCTCTGGTCTCTCTCTGGTCTCTCTCCCTGGTCTCTCTCTGGTCTCTCTCTGGTCTCTCTCTGGTCTCTCTCTCTGGTCTCTCTCTCTGGTCTCTCTCTCTGGTCTCTCTCCCTGGTCTCTCTCTCTGGTCTCTCTCTCTCTCTGGTCTCTCTCCTGCAGATGGTCTGCTGAGTGATGGTGAGTTCCTGGACATCACTGAGATAAAGCGACAGCAGGCGGCGGATTACGAGTGTGTGACCCACAACGGAGTCTCCCCGAGCGACCAGCGCAAGGTCAAAGTCACCGTCAACTGTGAGTCAAGCACCGGCACGTTTAGACCGGGGACTAGTCCTCAGGTCCAGGGATTCAGACCGGGGACCAGTCCTCAGGTCCAGGGTTTCAGACCGGGGACCAGTCCTCAGGTCCAGGGTTTCAGACCGGGGACCAGTCCTCAGATCCAGGGTTTCAGACCAGGGACTAGTCCTCAGGTCCAGGGTTTCAGACCGGGGACTAGTCCTCAGGTCCAGGGAGTCCAGGGTTTCAGAAGGCCATTTCTAAGTGACAGATGGGTCAGACCAGGCTACAGCTCTGAGCCAATCAGCTCTCAGCCCCACGAGGTTCTGTCTTTAAAGTCTACATGTCACAAAACATTTTCTGATTAGACACAAACAGAATGTCTGATGTATTCACTAGATTTTACATTTTGGTGCATATTTCTCTCTCAGAATAAATACGTTAGAACCAACATGATTTGGTAATAATCATGTGTGAGGATTAGAAGAGTGGATTAAGGACGGGATGGTTCTAATAGTCCGAGTCCGAGTCCGAGCCCGAGCCCAAGTCTCGAGATAACGGACCAAGAACATTTCACCATATACATAATTCAGATATGGTTCTATTCTCTCCACACACTGATGACAGAAGTGAGACCTGAACACACTGCACCATCAAAGCCTCCGACCAAACACCCTCCACTCACTACATTCAGACTATTGTACATGTACTGTACTGTACATGTTTTAGTGGTAGGGGAAACTGGAGCACCTGGAGGAAAAATACTTAGACACGGGGAGAACATGCAAACCCAACTGACTGGGTCATAAACATACCTCCTGCATGTGAATGTTAGACGTTAGTGTGTGTGTGTGTGTGTGTGTGTGTGTGTGTGTGTGTGTTGTGTGTGTCTAATCCCCCATTGTAGGGTGTTGTCTATCACGGTACAGAACTACAGGATCTGATTTTCTAATCTGCCGATGTGTGCAGACCCGCCCATGATCACGGATGTGAAGAACATGCCGGCACACGTGGGTAAGACCGTGATCCTGCGCTGTGAGGCCATGGCCGTCCCCGCCGCCTCCTTCGAGTGGTTCAGAGACGACCACAGGTAAAGGACCGGTCATTGTGATGTCACATGATGTTTCCAGTTAGAAACTTTATTGATCCCTGAAGCAGCAGAAACACTTCCATCCAAACATAACAAGTAGATTGACCATTCTAAAAAGATAATAATAGTAATAATAGTAATAATAATGTAGAACAGTCCTTCAGGTCCCTCTGCTCTGCTCCATAAAGTAAAACGCTAAAGGCTTCATTAGCAGGTTTCACAAAGTTAGCATTCCTCCATTGGATTTACACCTGATCCACTTGGTTTGGACCATAGGTCCTCAGAGTCCCAGCAGGAGGCCAGTCCCTGTGCTCCTCAGAGTCCCAGCAGGAGGCCAGTCCCTGTGCTCCTCAGAGTCCCAGCAGGAGGCCAGTCCCTGTGCTCCTCAGAGTCCCAGCAGGAGGCCAGTCCCTGTGCTCCTCAGAGTCCCAGCAGGAGACCAGTCCCTGTGCTCCTCAGAGTCCCAGCAGGAGTCCAGTCCCTGTGCTCCTCAGAGTCCCAGCAGGAGGCCAGTCCCTGTGCTCCTCAGAGCACAATAATGTCAATAACGTGGTTTCAAAGCCTCCAGCGTCTGCGATCCCAGGGTGTACCTCTGTAGCGCAGGTCAAACTGTGAAAATCTGCGCTAACGAGAGATTAAGTCTATTTAGAAACGTCGGGTCACGTCTGAACAAATGTGTTTCTTTGGATGTTGGATCACTTCAAAACAGAAATAACTCATTATCATCTCAGTCCCGTGGGCAGATGTTAAGGCCAGCCTAGAAAAATAAAACTAATTTAAAAAGTCAATTTACAACACACACAGACACACACACACACACACACACACACACACACACAGACACACACACACACACACACACACACTGACACCTTAACTCTCTCTCATCCCTCATTCTCGGAGGGTGCTGTGTTTTCCTGACATTGGTGTTTCCTGTGAACGTCACGTGCCATAAATCCACACAAAGTACCTCTCGTTTGACTTCCACCAACGCCATCTCGCCGTCTCACCGTCTCACCGTCTCGCCATCTCACCGTCTCACTGTCACGTCATCGCACAATCTCACCGTCTCACCATCTCACCATCTCGCCTAGCGTCCATTAGCCCTGACGTTATTGCATCTCTGATAACAATCATATATGTTTTTACAATCTCTGGAGGAGTATTATCTGTGATCTGAAATCCATTGCTCTCTGTTACCTCCACATTAACTGTCCTTCCGAGTCTGTGCGAGGTCCCGAGAGCACGCAGACGTTTGGCGTTGGAGAAAAAGTAGTTAAAGACGCTTCTGTCGGCCAGGAGAGCTGTTAGTGGATTATAATGGGCCCCAGCAGGAGGCCATAGTTATTTATGGACCTGGATTTCACTATTAGTACAAGGTGAGACGTGAGATGTGTGGGCGGACCATGAACACACATCTGGGACCAGCAGGAGTTCAGTGTGTAGTACAGTGGTCTCTCACAATAATCACTTTGGTCTCTCTCTGGTCTCTCTCTCTATCTCTCTCTGGTTTCTCTCTCTGGTCTCTCTCTGGTCTCTCTCTCTCTGGTCTCTCTCTGGTCTCTCTCTGGTCTCTCTCTCTGGTCTCTCTCTCTGGTCTCTCTCTGGTCTCTCTCTGGTCTCTCTCTGGTCTCTCTCTCTGGTCTCTCTCTGGTCTCTCTCTGGTCTCTCTCTCTGGTCTCTCTCTGGTCTCTCTCTGGTCTCTCTCTGGTCTCTCTCTCTGGTCTCTCTCTCTGGTCTCTCTCTGGTCTCTCTCTGGTCTCTCTCTCTGGTCTCTCTCTGGTCTCTCTCTGGTCTCTCTCTGGTCTCTCTCTCTGGTCTCTCTCTCTGGTCTCTCTCTGGTCTCTCTCTCTGGTCTCTCTCTGGTCTCTCTCTCTGGTCTCTCTCTGGTCTCTCTCTGGTCTCCCTCTGGTTTCTCTCTGGTCTCGCTCTGGTCTCGCTCTGGTCTCTCTCTCTGGTCTCTGTTGCCTGTTGCGTGTTGTGTTGTGTTGTGTTTTATGTGTAACATGAGTGTTGTGTTGTGTACAGGCCTGTGGAGAGCGACAACAACCTCAGAGTCAAACATGAGAAAACTCGGTCTCTGCTGCTTTTCTCCAACGTCACCGAGAAACACTTTGGGAACTACACCTGCTTCGCTTCGAACCGACTCGGAACCTCCAACGCCAGCATGCTGCTGTTCAGTACGTACTCTCTCTGACTGAATACTATCAAACTAACCCTGCTGCTGTTCAGTACGTACTCTCTCTGACTGAATACTATCAAACTAACCCTGCTGCTGTTCAGTACGTACTCTCTCTGACTGAATACTATCAAACTAACCCTGCTGCTGTTCAGTACGTACTCTCTCTGACTGAATACTATCAAACTAACCCTGCTGCTGTTCAGTAGGTACTCTCTCTGACTGAATACTATCAAACTAACCCTGCTGCTGTTCAGTACGTGCTCTCTCTGACTGGATACTATCAAACTAACCCTGCTGCTGTTCAGTACGTACTCTCTCTGACTGAATACTATCAAACTAACCCTGCTGCTGTTCAGTACGTACTCTCTCTGACTGAATACTATCAAAATGTATATTCAAGATGGCGCCTCGTACGGTCGACATGGCTCTTTGCTGCTCTCTTTTTCTTTTGTTTTTACTTTTTAACTGTGCATCTGGCTGTTCCTACACCCGTGAGGAACTTATGAACATCCGACCCACCGTTCCCATGGACCTATTGCCTGTTTTCTTGGCATCTGCGGCTGATTTAGTTCATGTTCTAGCCAAAAAAGTGTGGGCCCGTAAAAGGGGAAAGCGTGGAGGCTGCTCGTGCGTCTGAGGAGGAGAGGAGCCTCTCCCCGGCATTTTTCTGTCCAACGTACGCTCACTGGGCAATAAGACGAACTCAGCCTGCTCATGAGAAGAAACAAGGACTTCATCCTGTGTCCTCTGCTTCACTGAGACCTGGGGTCCTCTGTGTCCTCTGCTTCACTGAGACCTGGTGTCCCCTGTGTCCTCTGCTTCACTGAGACCTGGTGTCCTCTGTGTCCTCTGCTTCACTGAGACCTGGTGTCCTCTGTGTCCTCTGCTTCACTGAGACCTGGTGTCCTCTGTGTCCTCTGCTTCACTGAGACCTGGTGTCCTCTGTGTCCTCTGCTTCACTGAGACCTGGTGTCCTCTGTGTCCTCTGCTTCACTGAGACCTGGTGTCCTCTGTGTCCTCTGCTTCACTGAGACCTGGTGTCCTCTGTGTCCTCTGCTTCACTGAGACCTGGTGTCCTCTGTGTCCTCTGCTTCACTGAGACCTGGTGTCCTCTGTGTCCTCCATTGTGCGCTCTCAGGGAAGAGCAGAGGCGGAGGGCTGTGTTTCTACGTCAATACAAACTGGTGTAACGATGTGACAGTGATCTCCAAGCACTGCTCTCCTGCTCTGGAATATCTTTTCATTCATTGTAAACCATTTTACTCTCCTCGTGAGTTTGTTTCATTCATTCTTGCCTCTGTTTACATACCGCCATGCGCGGACGCAGAGCAAGTACTGTGTATGGAACGTTTATACCCGGACTCTCTGATTATTATCCTGGGGGATTTTAATAAGGGAAACTTGAGCCAGGAATGACCCAAATACAGACAGTTTATCAAATGCCCGACCAGAGAGGAGAACACTCTGGATCACTGTTACACCACCGTGCGCGGAGCTTTTCGCGCTGTTCCCAAGCCAGCCCTCGGCTTCTCAGATCACTCCATGATACATCTGGTTCCTGCTTACAGACAGAGACTAAAGCTCTCGAAACCTGCAGTGAGGAGCTCCAAAGTGTGGTCTGATGAAGCTGTGGAAGAGCTGCATGCATGGAATCTACAGACTGGGACCTTTTCAGAGCTGCCACAGATAGTTTGGATGAATACACGGACACTGTGACGGTCATACATCCACTTCTGTGAGGATAGCATCATTCCAACAAGGACCAGGGTCATCTATAACAACGACAAACCCTGGTTCACTGCTAAACTCCGGCAGCTCAGGAAAGCAAAGGAGTCTGCTTTCAGGGAGGGGGACCGCAGCGGCTACAAAGCAGCTAAATATCAGTTCAGGAAAGAACTGAAAGCAGCCAAGTCCCGGCACAGAGAACGACTACAGGAGCAGTTTGGTAACAACGATACTGCTTCTGTCTGGAGGGGCCTACGGGAGATCACCAACTACAAACCCAAAGCCCCCCCCTGTGCTGACGACCACAAGCTAGCTGACGAACTGAACTTATTTTTCAGTCGCTTTGATGCTGCCCCTGACACCTCTCCCTCCCCCACCCCCCACTACTCTAACGACCCACCCATCAGCCCTGCCCCCAGCCTAACAATAGCCGCTAAAGAGATTAAACAACTCTTCCTGAGGCTGCACCCCCGCAAAGCTCCTGGCCCGGACCACGTGTCTCCGGCCACTCTGAGACACTGCGCCAGTGAGCTTACTCCTGTGTTCACGGACATTTTCAACTCCTCTCTGCAGTCCTGCCATGTCCCGGCCTGCTTCAAATCCTCCATCATTGTCCCCGTCCCGAAGAAGCCCAGGATCACAGGACTCAATGACTACAGACCTGTAGCACTTACGTCTGTCGTCATGAAGTCATTTGAACGCCTGGTTCTCTCCCATCTCATGTCCCTCACCTCCCCCCTCCGGGACCCCCTGCAGTTCGCCTACAGAGCCAACAGATCTGTAGACGACGCCATTAACCTGGCCCTCCACCACATCCTACAGCACCTGGACTCCCCGGGGACCTACGCCAGGGTCCTGTTCGTGGACTTCAGCTCTGCCTTCAACACAATCCTGCCATCCCTGCTCCAGGACAAGCTCTCCCAGCTCAACGTGCCCGATTCCACCTGCAGGTGGATCACTGACTTCCTGACGGACAGGAAGCAGCGAGTGCGTCTGGGGAAGAATGTCTCGGACTCTCGGATTATAAATACAGGAGCCCCACAGGGCTGTGTTCTTTCTCCCCTGCTCTTCTCCCTGTACACCAACCACTGCACCTCCAGCCACAACTCCGTGAAGCTGATCAAGTTCGCGGACGACACCACCCTCATTGGACTCATCTCCAACAACGATGAGTCCGCCTACAGGAGGGAGGTGGACCGGCTGGTGTCCTGGTGTCTCCTACAGGAGGGAGGTGGACCGGCTGGTGTCCTGGTGTCTCCTACAGGAGGGAGGTGGACAGGCTGGTGTCCTGGTGCAGTGGTAACAACCTGGAGCTGAACGCCCAGAAGACAGTGGAGATGATTGTGGACTTCAGGAAGAGCACTGTCCCCCCGCCCCCACCCTCCGTGATGGACTCCCCCATCACCTCTGTGGAGTCCTTCCGTTTCCTGGGCACCACCATCACCCAGGACCTCAAGTGGGAGCCGACCATCAGCTCCCTCATCAAGAAGGCCCAGCAGAGGATGTACTTCCTGCGGCAGCTCAGGAAAGCCAAGCTGCCTGCACAGATGTTGTTGCAGTTCTACACGGCCATCATCGAGTCCATCCTCACCTCCTCCGTCACCGTGTGGTTCGCTGGAGCCACAGTCAGGGACAAACAGAGACTACAGCGCATTGTGCGCTCTGCAGAGGAAGTGATCGGCCACAGCCTTCCATCGCTGCAGGACCTGTACGTCGCCCGAGCTCGAGGCCGGGCTGGTCGTATCACAGCCGACCCCTCTCACCCTGCACATGGACTATTCCAACCACTCCCCTCAGGCAGGAGACTGCGGTCCATCAGGACTAGAACCTCCCGCCACAAGAACAGTTTCTTCCCCTCTGCTGTTGGACTCTTGAACACTTCGTAACCTGTCCCCCCGCCCTTTTAAAGTCACTTTACTGCCCATCATACGTCACTTTACTTCACTGTACTGCTGTCACCTTACATTGTGTGCACCATGTGCACTTGTATATTGTAAATAGTAACTGTAACTCTATTTTAAATTTAAATTTATTCTTTAGAAGTGTTTTTTATTCTTATTTTTATTATCTCTTTTTGACTGTTGCACTGAGCCAAAGCAATTTCCAAGTCTGTGACCTCCTGTTACTTACGTTGGCAATAAAAATGATTCTGATTCTGATTCTGAACTAACCCTGCTGCTGTTCAGTACGTACTCTCTCTGACTGAATACTATCAAACTAACCCTGCTGCTGTTCAGTACGTACTCTCTCTGACTGAATACTATCAAACTAACCCTGCTGCTGTTCAGTACGTACTCTCTCTGACTGAATACTATCAAACTAACCCTGCTGCTGTTCAGTACTTACTCTCTCTGACTGAATACTATCAAACTAACCCTGCTGCTGTTCAGTACGTACTCTCTCTGACTGAATACTATCAAACTAACCCTGCTGCTGTTCAGTACGTACTCTCTCTGACTGAATACTATCAAACTAACCCTGCTGCTGTTCAGTACGTACTCTCTTTGACTGAATACTATCAAACTAACCCTGCTGCTGTTCAGTACGTACTCTCTCTGACTGAATACTATCAAACTAACCCTGCTGCTGTTCAGTACGTACTCTCTCTGACTGAATACTATCAAACTAACCCTGCTGCTGTTCAGTACGTACTCTCTCTGACTGAATACTATCAAACTAACCCTGCTGCTGTTCAGTACGTACTCTCTCTGACTGAATACTATCAAACTAACCCTGCTGCTGTTCAGTACTTACTCTCTCTGATTGAATACTATCAAAAACAACCCTGCTGCTGTTCAGTACGTACTCTCTCTGACTGAATACTATCAAACTAACCCTGCTGCTGTTCAGTACGTACTCTCTCTGACTGAATACTATCAAACTAACCCTGCTGCTGTTCAGTACGTACTCTCTCTGACTGAATACTATCAAACTAACCCTGCTGCTGTTCAGTACGTACTTTCTCTGACTGAATACTATCATACTAACCCTGCTGCTGTTCAGTACGTACTCTCTCTGACTGAATACTATCAAACTAACCCTGCTGCTGTTCAGTACGTACTACTCTCTGACTGAATACTATCAACTAACTAACTAACCCTGCTGCTGTTCAGTACGTACTCTCTCTGACTGAATACTATCAAACTAACCCTGCTGCTGTTCAGTAGGTACTCTCTCTGACTGAATACTATCAAACTAACCCTGCTGCTGTTCAGTACGTGCTCTCTCTGACTGAATACTATCAAACTAACCCTGCTGCTGTTCAGTACGTAC